TTGGTGAGCCGCTCGAAACTTTATTATTTCCGTTAATTTCTTAATTTTGATACATAACTGATAAAATAATAGCCGATTGCAGGCGCTTTCGTTCTCCTACTTAGTTATATTACAATTGTTACGCATTCAAATGCTAGTTTTGCCATGACGCCATAAAGTATCTATAATATTATACTCTCTTTAAAACAATAACAAGATTTTCATTGTCTTTGATTGTTTAATACCATGCGTTATCTTTTTTATGTTTTGCATTGTAATTTATGATATATGCTAATCTGTGCATTTGTAATTTTGTCAACTCAATCTTAAAATAATAATTATCTTGATTATAGTATATGAATGGTTTTCTTTTGCTTCGACGAGTTATCAGATCATTCGGTATAATTCCATTCTGGATTTCTCACCCTTTTTTTTAATGGTCATTAAGCGCACTAGCTCAAGTTTTTATACAATGTTACATTATAATATTTTCGATAAAGAAACATGGGAACAATGTAACGTCCACAGATTTTCAGATGAGTGGAAATGTTTGAGGTACACATATGACACAGAAATAAGTCTAAGTATAGAATGCGTAATATGTCATCAAAAAGATGTCAATATTGAACATTGTTGTTCACAAGACCTAAAATCCTCTTCTCAATATTGGATATTTAAATACGCAAGACAAGATGAATGTAATGCGAGTTGTACGATATGTGAAGAAAATATAAACATTGATTATGATTGGGATAATTTAAAAGACCACATGTCATCTGTACATTTAGAGGAATGGGAAAGAATACAACTAAAAGATTTGGAACAAGGAACAGAACATGATGAAGCTGGACCGTCGACAAGCTACGCAAGTTAAAAGAAAACGATCGTAAGTTTTAATCATATTTTATTAATTACCATTGTTTAGTAATATTTATAATTACATTTTATTCTTTCAGTAGTTTACTCAATCAAAATATGATAAAATAATCAAATAATTAACATTTGTTTTTTATATATTACAAATGTTTATTCAGATTCATCAACATTTGGCAATGGAAATGATGGTAGCGGCATTTTTAAGTATCATTTCATGATCAGCAATAACGGCAGTCTTGAATTTGACCTAAGTGATTTGAAAGACATGAAGACATTGGCGTATAATTTGACTTATTTATCGCATATCGGTTTTGTGTTTATAAATGTATAAAAATTGTATAAAATGTATAAATTTAAATATATATATTTATATATTTACAATTTAACACAATCCTATAAATTTATAAACTTATAAATTATAGTTATTTTTTTAAAACATAATATTTTTTGAATTATGCTTTAAAATAAAGTATTGTGTTTATACATTTACAAAAAACTAAACCGATTTCATGAATATAACAAATTTTTTGTATAGTGACGAATCTTCGAGTGACGTACTCAGTACATATATAATAAGAATAACAAAACTCAGATAATTAGTACTTGTTCGAAATATATGTTGCGAATGTTTATGTAAATTTCATCGAATCGCGTTTTGCAACGCATAGATTGGAATAGATACAATGTCTACGTCACTCAATATTTTCAAAAAGGAACCGTTTGATTATATTGTGCAATTCAACATAAAAATCTGATACTTTTGTATAGTATTTTTATGAAAAAAGTAGACGTCAGAATCCTTAGCAAATCACTAACACAATCATGTTAAGAAGGAACTGGAGAATTACGTATTTCGCAGCTGGACATAGAAGTATTGCTTTTTTGTGCATAAGAAGACAGTATTTTTCGAAATTCATGTACGAAATGTATATTCCTTTAATTTCTTTTTACAATGCTTGTGTAAATACTTTTTGAAGAGTTCGGATATGAACATTTTATATGACTTTACGAAATGATTTTAAAGAATTACGAAACTTGAATCTAAACTTGAATCTTTAGAAAATAATATATCAATATTATAAAGTATTACAAAGATGTAGGAGATTGTATAATTTTATTAATTTAATGTTATGCTTATTTATGAATTCCTTGATCTCATGATATACATATGTTGTCTTAAAGTATTATAAGCAAGTAAAAGATTATTATTTTATCATGTATTATTTCATCATTTCAATATTAATCTTATTTAAAAATATCTTGATTACGAACTTAATGTTATCTTTAAAATAATTCAAGTATGTAGCAGATTGCATTTTATCATTTTAATGTTATAATAATTAAAAATTTCTCAATTTCTATGAAATTAATGTTGTATTTAAAGTATTGTGAGTAGGAGATTATATCATTTTATTATTTTAATGTTATTTCGTTTATTCCAAAATTTCTCGAATCTTTTGCGAATTTAATGTTATTGTTCACGTGATAAATTGAACTTTTGGCATAAGTTTGCACATGGAAATAACACATATTTTAAAATTTTTATATAATCATTTAAGTATAATTCGAGATTGATTATATATTCACACAAATACGTATAGCATGTGATAATAATTGGTACATTTATAATACATATACATGAAAAAATATATATATAGAAAAATCATGTTTTATTTAATTATGTTATACAAATATTCATTACGCTCCAAAAAATTGAAAGAAAAAAATACGTTTAATTTTGATCAAGTTGAATAAGCAGTATTAAAGCGATTTTTGCTTTATAACAGTGCTCAGAATTAATTGAACTTTTCGACCAATTTTTGTGGTCAACATATAATATTTCATTATATAAATTTATATTTGTTACTTTTTTACTTAACTAAATATTTTCTATGTTACTGAGACGGAAAAATGTTTTTTACTCACAAACAATAAAAAGATAATAAATTGTAGCAAATTTGAAATATTAAATATTCGCTTTATTTTAATACAAATACTAAAATACTAAAGTGTTTAAATCTAAGACGTTGAAAACTGTAGTCATGTTATAATTAGCAACAGAATGTTAGAATATAAAAATCAAACCAATAATTTGGTGTATATTGCGCTGGAAAATAAAAGAAATGACGATAACAACGCTGGCGTATCTAAAATATAAATAAGATAAAGAAATAGGCATGTAAGTATCTATATTTCTGCAATAATTGCAATAAATTGTAATATTAGTTCATATATCAATAAATTAAAAGAATACTTATATTTTTTCAATGTAGTTATTGTTATAGATCATAGTATTAATTACGAGCAATAAGCTTCATTAATTTCTTGTACATTATTTTTCAAAACATTATTTATCTGTGTAATGAACGCACTATGATGCTTCTCTCCACCCCCCCTCACTCCCACTTACACTCTTTCTTTCTCACCTTTCCCCCTTTACCCCTCTTTCGCTCTAGCTGGACGCAAACAAGTAAGCACGTGTGTGTCTATTATTTCTTTCTTTCCACTGTTAAATCACAAAATATTCTTTAAAAGAATTGATAAAACTGTCCATTGCTTTATGATGCGTTAAAATTTTGTACATATTACCTATATACATATATGTATATCATAGATTTTTTAATTGTTATATTTGACTTACTTTTAACACTTTTCATATAACAATGTTTAACTATTTTATTAAGCTATTTGCAGTTAACTATATTTATATGAAGTTATAATGTATATTATAATTTCTCGTGTATCAATCAGGAGTGTTAGCTCCCCTTGAGAAACTTTCTGTTGTGTGATGTTAACAAATACAATGTTTTATTTGAACTGCGATAGAACGTAAACTTGCAACCTGTAACAAAATGCACAGTATTATAAAATTAAGAAAAAATTTCTCCAATTTTGCTTTTATACATTTAATAATAAAAGTCACATAACAAAGATAGTAAAAGAATTTCTGATTAATGTAATATAAGTATGCACACGTCAAAAAATTCAATAAATTTACACAACAAAAATATAAAAATTACATCACAAATAATGAAAGTATACTAAGTAAATAGAATTATATATATAAAATTATGTAAATTTATTATATATATTTAGTAAATTTTTCTTATTTATCATGTAATTTTTACATCTAATTTTGTAAATTTATCGATTTTATTTTCAGTATAGAACACCGTGTTTAATTATGGTATTCCCTTATTATGACTGCATAATTAGACATCAAACATACTGTTATTTATAATTATACATCTCCATGATTTTTGTTTTTCCTTATATTTGTACGTTTTGTAAACATGTGGATTAGTTCTCTGCGAAAAGTTTGTCCAGTTGCGCAGTAGAGAACAAAATTTATACTGTTATGTGCTATGTCTAATAAGTCGAATATTGTGAACATGACTATCACATTGCTAGATTCAGTAATCTGAAAAAATTATTATTGTTAGTTTTGTGTTATATAACCATTAATATAGTAACATATCGTATTTCAATGCATCCATTTTCTTACGCGAATATCTAATATAAAAAATCTATTGTATAATTTCATTCAAAATATAAAAATTAAACAGTATAAATTATTTCAAAAAATTTAAATTTTAAGAGAAAAATTAATTAATATTTTTTTGTCATTTACAGAGAATGCATTTTTAAAGTAAATAAACAATGTATTATGATCGTTATTATTTTAATATGAATTATTGATACGTACGTAACGAAAAATGAAGGAAAAGTAATGTCTAGGTAATTTTACCATTACAAATATGCTCGAAACAAGAATAAGCATTCTTGTGATTTTATACTGCATTTTGACACTAGAAATCTGCGTTTTTTTATTAGAAGAATCGGACGCTGCAATCAACATTTTGCGAACACGATTTTGCTGGTAAATGTGATATCCTATCAGAGTATTGCAGATTACTATCACGAGAGCAGGTAAAGTAAATATTATAATAGAAGTCATAATCATCCTTTTAAATGCAGCGCTTATCTGAATGTCCAAATTTTGATGTTTGTATAAAGTATAGCTAATTATATTATTGGATTTTAAAAGTTCATTTGTATAAGTCATGGTCCAAATAAAAAAAATGTTGAACAAAATTGCTAGTCCCATCAGCGTGATTACTACGATTTTTGCTCGTCTGACAGTGCACCAAGATCGACGCAGAAGCGGATACTTCGTAACAATATATCGCTCGATGGTAAAAGCTACTATAAGCCACACGCTCAAGAACTCGAAAAAGAATTTCGGAAACTTTATCAAGTAAATTACCCAGTATGCGTCTTTCATTGGTTCTATATCCATTAACATGAGCCATTCAATGAGTAATACTATCGAATAAGTTATGTCGCATATTGCTAGCACGCCCAAGTAGATGTTGGACGAGAAAGAACGCATCTTTTTACGGAAGAGCACAATAGCGGACAAACAGTTTCCTAAAAGACCCACAATAATAAAAATTGGCAGACTGTACTTTCTGCAATTTGAAAATGTCTCCAAAGCATCTGCAATTGCATGTTGCGTGTGAAAAAAGAAATAAAATTGTTTTATAACGTTGATACGAAAGTCTCTGCCTACAATATCTTCGTTACATAAATCTTGAAATTTTTCAATTTTACTTATGTTCACAAGTGGATAATGCGCCATAAAAATTAAACTGCAGAGATAAATAAAAATTTCGGCCATGTTTCGCAAACTTTCGTCAAGATCTCTTTCGTTGTTACAAACATGCAATAGTAGTTCGTGTTTAGATATGCTGGAATAATCTTTGCCAAGATTATTTTCAGAAAACATCCTGCGTACAATTATGAAACGTTCGCAACAGTTGAAATGAATTGAAAAGCAAAAAGCGGTGTAATCAAGTTGCGTCACGCGTCTGAAAAAGCGTTATAACATTATTATATATGTTATTCATTGAAATTAATGAATCTTGCATATAAATTTTATTTATGAATACATTTACTAAAATAATTTTTTTTATTATTAAAAGAATAAAATATATAAAATATACAATATATATATATACAGTATTTTAAATATTTAAAGTAAAATATTTTAAGCATTATTTCATTTACCTGAAAGTTGTTAAAAATTCTGAAGCCTACGGGGGTTACAGACTCTCAGCAATTCCCCGATTTCAATTGTTCAACTGCTAAACACTAACGATTGTAAGCGACTGAATGTTGAGACGACTTGGATCATGATATTATTTCTTCCTGGAAGCTTGTGGCTTACCAAATGTTTAACATTTTGATTATAATGTTGCTCATATCCGTTGACGTGTGTGTTTCCGCAAAAGTCTATCGCTCTACTAAAGTATTTTTAATGACATTATAAGGAAGCAATAAATATTACTGAAATAATACGTAAAGTTTATTTAAAACAGATCCTTTTTATTTTCTCATAACAGATATTTCATTGAATATAGTTTCTATTAGCATTATATTTATGATTGCATGGCAACAGTGGTTATTATATATTACGTATTGAATAACTACGACATTATAATATTTTATTTTGTACACTTTAATTACACTTTAATATTATATGTTTAGTTTTATTAGAATTTATACATTTGCATGCAATATTATCATGCTACTATATTAGGAAAACTTTATTACCAATATTTGTTTGAATAATGAACAATATTTATTAGCGCATTCTAAATAAAATGATGAAATTGCTCTCTCCTTTTGACAACTGTTTGCAATGGCAATTATAAATTCAATTTTTATCATAAACCTAATTGTAAGCATATTAGTCGAAAATGCTCAAAACATAAAGGAAAGCAAAATGTACATGGAATAAATAAAAATTACAATAACTGATTAAAAGCGTTTCTTATATATAGAAAAGCGTTTATCATTTTGTATAAACAAATAATATGCACGTGTGTAGTAAATTAAATTATCAGACATGTGCATACTTGTATATGAATACACTGGCTGATATGGATATTTGTGACATAATAACATATAAGTAGAACACAATTCGTTAGTAACACGTTTTTGTCATTTTTGAAAATATTCCTGTAATAAAGAGATGTCATTTACGTAACCTTGATAATAACAAATTATTATTGCTTTACAATCAATGATGTAATCATTTTCCTATTTCAAATAGTTAAAAATCAACATATTTTCTAAGTTGAAAATCAACATATTTTCTAAGTTATATAGGTTAACATTTGTTAACAGAATTGACAAATCTCTTGTTCTCTTTATGGTGCGCTGAAACATTCTACATATTATCTACATATTTGTGTATCATAAATTATTTTAATTGTTACTTTTGACTTACTTTTAACACTTTTGATACAACAATGTTTAACTATTTTTTCAAGCTATTTGTTTTATATACTTAACTATATTTATATAAAGTTATAATGTATATTATAATTTCTCGTGTATCAATCAGGTGTGTAAGTTTCTCAAAAGAAACTTTTAGTTGTGCGTTGTTAACAAATAAGCACAATGTTTCGTTTAAACTGCGGTAGGATGTAAACTTGCAAGCTGTAACAAAATGCAAAGTATTATAAAATTAGAAACAAATTTTCTTATTTTTGCTTTTATACATTTAATAATAAAAGTCTTATAACAAAAATAATATAAAAATTTTTAATTAATGTAATACTTATAAATATGCACATGTCAAAAAATTCGATAAATTTACACAACAAAGATGTACGAATTACATAATGAATAATGGAAACAAGATGTATGTATAATTAGTGAATAGTATAAAATTTATGTAAATTATGTAAATGTACAATATATATTTAGTAAATTTCTGTTATTTATCAAGTAATTTTTACATCTGATTTTGTAAATTTATCGATTTTATTTTTAGTATAGAATATTGTGTTTAATTATGGTATTATCTTATTAAGACTGCATAATTTGACATCAAACATATTGTTACTTATAATTATTTATCTCCATGATTTCTGTTTTTTCTTATATTTAAACGTTTTGTAAATATGTAGATTAGTTCTCTGCGAAAAGTTTGTCCCGTTGCGCAGTAAAGAACAAAATTTATACTGTAATGTGCTGTGTCCAATAAGTCAAATATTGCGACCATAGGTAACGAATCGCCATATTTAGGTATCTGAAAAATTATTATTGTTATTTTTGTTTTATATAGCCATTAATAATAACATATCGTATTACAATGCATCTATTTTTTTACGCGGAGATTTAACAAATTATTGTATAATTTCATTCATAATGTAAAAATTAAACAGTACAAATTATTAAAAGGACAATATTTAAAAAAATTCAAATTTTAGGAGAAAAATTAATTAATATTTTTTTGTCATATACAAAAAAAAAAAAATGCAATTTTAAAGTAAAACAACTATATATTACAGTCATTATTATTTTAATATGAATTATTGATACGTACGTAACGAGAAATGTAGAAAAAATAATGCTCAGGTAATTTCAAGATTACAAATACGCTCGAAACGAGAATAAGCATTCTTGTGATCTTATACTGAAGCATTTTGTCACTAGAAATCTGAATTCTCTCATTAGAAGAATCGGACGCTGTAATCAACATTTTGCGAACACAATTTTGCTGATAAATGTGATATCCTATCAGAGTATTGCAGATTACTATCACGAGAGCAGGTAAAGTAAATATTATAATAGAAGTCATAATCATCCTTTTAAGTGCAGCGCTTTTCTGAATGTCCAAATTTAGATGTTTGTATAAAGTATAGCTATTTAAATTTTTTGTTTTAAATATTTCATTTTTATAAGTTATGGTCCAAATATAAAAAATGTCGAACAAAATTGCTAGTCCCATCAGCGTGATTACTACGATTTTTGCTCGTTTGACAGTGCACCAAGATCGACGCAGAAGCGGATACTTTGTAACAATATATCGCTCGATGGTAAAGGCTACTATAAGCCACACGCTCAAGAACTCGGAAATGAATCTCGGAAACTTTGTCAAGTAAATTAACCAGTATGCGTTATTAATTGGTTCTATATCTAGCAAAATAAGCCATTCAATGAGTAATATTATCAAGTAAATCATGTCGCATATTGATAGCACGCTCAAGTAAATGTTGGACGAGAAAGAACGCATCTTTTTACGGAACAGCACGCTGGCAGACAAGCAGTTTCCTAAAAGACCCAGAATAATAAAAATCAGCATAATGTACTTTTTGAAACTTATAGAGGTCTCAAAAGTATTTTCCAGTGCATAATTAAACTTAGAATAAGAATCAAATTCATATATGACGTCAGTGATTGGAAAATAACTGCCTACAATATCTTCGTTACATAAATCTCGGAATTTTTCAATTCTACTTATGTTCACAGGTGACTGAAGCGTCATGAATCGTATAATGTAGAAATAAATAAAATCTTCGGCCATGTTTCGCAAACTTTCGTCAAGATCTCTTTCGTTGTTACAAACATGCAATCCTAGTTCGTGTTTAGATATGCTAGAATAATGTTTGCCGAGATTATTTTTAGAAAACATTCTGAGTACGATTATGGAATGTTTGCCACAGTTGATTATGAAATCAAAAGCAATAAGTGGTGTAATCAAGTTGCGTCACGCGTCTGAAAAAGCGTTATAACATTATTATATTTGTTATTCATTGAAACCAATACATTTTGCATATAAATTTTATTTATAAAGACATTTACTAAAATAATTTTTTTTATTATTAAAAAAATAAAATATACAAAATATACAATATATATACAGTATTTTAAACATTTAAGGTAAAATGTTTTACGCACTATCTCACTTACCTGAGAGTTGTCAAAAATTCTGAAGCCTACAGGGGTTACAGACTTTCAGCAATTCTCTGATTTCAATTGTTCAACTTTTAAACACTAACGATTGTAAGCGACTGAATGTCGACACAACTGACTTGGATGATGATATTATTTCTTTCTGGAAGCTTGTGGCCTACCAAAATGTTTAACATTTTGATTATAATGTTGCTCATATCTGTTGACATGTGTGTTTCCGCAAAAGTCTGTCGCTCTACTAAAGTATTTTTAATGACATTAAAAGGAAGCAATAAATATTACTAAAATAATACATAAAATTTATATAAAACAGATTTTTTTGATTTTTTTTATAACAGATATTTTATTGAATATAGTTTTTATTAGCATAATATTTATGATTACATGGCAACTGTGGTTATTATATATTACGTATTGAATAACTACAACATTATAATATTTTATTTTTTACACTTTAATTAATATTATATGGTTAGTTTTATTAGAATTTATATTGTTGAATGCAATATTATCATGCTACTATTTTAGGCAAATTTCAGTACTAAAATTTGTTTGAATAATGGAACAATATCATCGGCGCATTCTAAATAATTGATCTCTTGTTTTGACAACTATTTGCAATGGCAAATACAAATTCAATTTTTATCAATCTAATTGTAAGTATATTAGTTAAAAATGCTGAAAACAGAAAGGGAAGCAAAATGTACATGTAATAATTAAAAATTACAATAACTGTTTAAAAGTGTTTTTTATATATATAGAAAAGCGTTTATCATTTTGTATAAACAAGTAATATGCACGTGTGTAGTAAGTGAAATTATCAAACATGTGCATACGTGTATATCAATACACTGGCTGATATAGATATTTGTGACATAATAACATATAAGTTGAACGCAATTCGTTAGTAACACGTTTCTGTCATTTTTGAAAATATTCCTGCAATGAATAGATGTCATTTACGTAACTTTGATGATAACATATTGTTTTTGTATCTTTACAATCAATGATGTAATAATTTTCTTATCTCAAATGATTAAAAATCAACATTTTTTCCAAGTTATATAGGTTAACATTCATTAATAGAATTGATAAATCTGTCTTTCTCTTTATGGTGCGCTGAAACATTCTACATATCACCTACATATTTGTGTATCATAAATTGTTTTAATTGTTACTTTTGACTTACTTTTAACACTTTTGATACAACAATGTTTAACTATTTTATTAAGCTATTTGCAGTTAACTATATTTATATGAAATTGTAATGTATATTATAATCTCTCGTGTATCAATCAGGAGTGTTAACTTCTCTTGAGAAAGTTTTAGTTGTGCGATGTCAAAGAATACAATGTTTTGTTTGAAGGTCGATTGGACGTAAACTTGCAAGCTGTAACAAAATGTAATTTATTATCAAAATGAGAATAAGTTGGTTTATTTTTTGTTTTATTCATTTAATAATAAAAGTCATATAACAAAGACAGTAAACAAATTTTTTATTAATGTAATATAAGTATGCATACTGTCAAAAAGTTTCATAAATGTATACATCAATGAAATAGATATTTCATGATAAACGATGAAAATATATCACCTAAGTAAATAATATAAAATTTATGAAAACATGCAAATTTACAATATATATTTAGTAAATTTCTGTGTATATTTATCATGTAATTTTTACATCTAGTTTTGTAAATTTATCGATTTTATTTTTAGCATAGATCGCCGTGTTTAATTACTGTGAAATTACCTTACTATGACTGCATAACTGGACATCAATTATACTGTTACTTATAATTATACATCTCCATGATTTCTATTTTTCTTTATATTTGTACGTTTCGAAAACATGTGGATCAGTTCTCTGCGAAAAGTTTGTCCCGTTGCGCAGTA